AAATAAACACTCTTAAGATACCAGAGTCTACCAGAGTGCTAAAGTCAGATTTTGTCATGTTTGACTGTTGCCAGGTGGTGTCACTGGTACCTACATGAGCAATAATTATATTGACTGAATTAGGGAGTGTAGTTAGAAGGGATTTGAGTTCAACTGGCATAACGGACACTGGAATAACTGTGTTTAATAGACAGTAGGTTCTGCTGGCATTTCTGGTGGATGGTTGGTGGACTTCATAGGTGAGGCAGAGTGGGCAAGTGCACCTATAGGTGAGCTGCAAATCTGGTAGTTGGGGAGAGGAAGAGCATCATGCTCTGTTTTTATTGCCACCTGTGGTGCAGTGATCAGCACAGTGGAACAGGTCAAGTCACCTTGCGGTGCCATCGTAGAGTAGCGGCCCACAACATAAGTTGCTGGATGAATGGCTCTGACCACGGAGCTTAAGGGGATCGAAGCGTGTGTTACTTCCAGAGATGCTGGGTCAGCAAAGATCCCAGCCAGAACCCGTCCGTTGTCCACCACTGCACCAAACTAATTGGACTGAGTTTCAATGACATTATTTCCTTGGTTAATGGTTGTTTTAGCGTGACTGTCGTTTTAGCTTGTTCCACAGCAGCGTTGGTGAAACTGTGAAGAAGTTCTGCTTTTTGTTTGAAGTCCAAGACCTCCACGTGTTGTCCTTTGGACTGGATATATCCTCAGTTGCATTTTTTACTGGAGGCACTTTTCAAACATATATCCTTTAGGTAATTCATAGGCTTCTTCTGAAATCCCTCATTTGATCATTTTAAAACAAATACCACTGGAAACATCTTGTCCTGTAGAACAATGGTTCTTGTACAGATGCAATGAGTCTTACACACAATGGTTTCTTCTGAAGAGATGAATTTTACCACTGTAGTGTAACAGAATGCCAAATGCAAAAACTGGAAGTGCTTAGAGATGACAGCAACTTAGCCAAAATGTGGCAGAGCGTTTAAGTTAGAGAGTGGCATTGGAGAGTGCTAAGGCACATAGTGCTTAAACATCACAGAGTTCCAAGCTTACTTTGGCATTAACATTAGCACAAAAACAGTGTTTTGGGAGTTTCATGGAATGGGTTTCTATGGTAGAGCAGGTATGTGTAGGTATGATTCAATTTAGTTTTATTTATACAGCACCAAATCACAACAACAGTCACCTCAAGGCACTTTATATTGTAAGGTAGACCCTACAATAATGCATACAGAGAAAATCCAAACAATCATACGATCCCCTATGAGAAGCTCGTTGGTGACAGTGGGAAGGAAAAACTCCATTTTAACAGCAGAACCAGGCTCAGGGAGGGGCGGGGCCATCTGCTGGGGTGAGGGGAGGAAGACAGGGTAATAAAAATATAATGTGTAGTCATTTGTAGTTGACCCAGTACTTATGTCCGTACAGTATACTAAATACTGGACAAATCCAGTCTTCATGCTCAGCTAAACTAACTAGTGGGTGACTACAGGCTGCTTTGCAAACGTGAGGACATTATCAGTCTAATTCAGGTTAAGAATGTGTATTTTTGCTATATAAGTGTATTTTCTCAGAACTATTAAGAACAGTTGTAGGACAGAGGTCTCAGGTTTTGGTCCACACACAACTATATTTAAGTATCTTGCTAGAGATATTCAAAGTGAGAAAATCCACGCTGTTCTGTTTTTCATGCTTTTCCCCTCAACTTTCATATCATTGTTGTTGGAGTATTTTGTTTAATGTCAAAAATGTCCTTGCATAAAACAAAATGAGAAGGCTTTTGAGTGCAATTTTACATGACTGTGTTACTGTAGAGTAATTGTGATTTTGTGTGTGTTATCTTGTCTAACATATGTGGGAGTGGGAAACCCACATTAGGCAGTGAAAAACTGAAGTGGTTGGATGACAAAAAATATGTGGGAAAAGGCCTGCTGAGACCCCTCCCCACCTTAAAACACACACACACACACACACACACACACACACACACACACACACACACACACACACACATGTCGTCCACATTTAACTTATTTTCTTCATCTGTGTGGTAGTGACCTGTTTTGTCCTGCCATGCACAGGCTTCTGTGACGTTACTGCTGTTTAACCACAGCTAGGCTGTAGCAGCAGCAGGAATGTGAATAGGAGGTTCTGTGACAGTCGAGAGAGGCTCAAGGTATCTTCAATATCCCACATGACCTTGCAAGATTCATTATCAGAACTGCTCACAGACACTCATGTATCACTGATAGCTTTCTTTGTTTAAGTGAGAGGGCCAGCAGAGACGGATTAAAAAGAAATCCAAACTGAGATGAAATTGTCAGAAGTGTTGGAATTAATACTTGTTTCAAGCCAAATCATGAGTTTTACCTGCCCTCATGCAGCTACGGTTACGTGACTGGGTTCATAAACGAACCAGCAGAAGGGACAATGGACTAAATGAAGCAAAACCAGTTTAAGGTCACAGAAAACGGTCTCTCAAGGATAATATATTCTTTGTTTGTGTGGAATCTTCCGACTATCCCTCCTGCATAATGTAGTGTGCATGTGTAGCGGTGTGTTGGTGCCTGTGTACGTTGTCACAGTTGTTTATGGCAACATCCTTGAATCTCAGCTGGCGTTTTAATCACAGTGCAGCATCAGACAGAAGCGCAGCTTTGAGTGGATGGAACGAATCGCTGTGTCACACTGTGAGGTGGAGTGTGACCTGCAACCACAGGGAATTATCAAGAGGATGATAAAGGCTTCCCCACTTCTCTATCTGGCTTCAACTTGTCTTGAAAAACTTTTAATTATCCGCTTTTCTTTGTCAGGGTGTAATTTGCTTGCACACAGATCTCATATATTTTAGACTAGGACCAGGAGAATTATGGGCCCCAAACTAGACAGGTGTGGTTTCATGATGTCTCTATAATTAAGACGGTGTGCATCTATGCACAAAATAAGATGATCTCAAATTGAGCGGCCTGATGATATTACACTTTCTTGAAGACATTTCATCCGAGAAGCTTCTTCAGTTCTAAGAGCAATTGGTGGAGAATCCCAGATTTTAAGCCCTATGGGAGTGTCCCTAAGAGGGTCATGGACCCCCTATTGATCCTCTGCCTAATAACAGGAGCCAAGGTGTGAAAACGGGTGTTTGGGGTAAACCCACTGTGAGACCTTGTCACAACCTATCATGTGATTCACTGAGGTCAACCCAGGATGTAAGTGGGTGTTAAGGTGCTGGGAAGAGTCTCAAAACGGGATTATAGATGGCAGACAGTTGGTGTCGTAAGCCACCACCTCTGTTAACTGGGTTGATAAGAATGATATGAGAAATCTGAAAGAGATAAGCAACCGCTTCAATATGGTCCATTTAAAAAACCAAGGAAACAAGCAAATACACGCTTGAATAATTATTTTTACTGATGCAGTAAACTGCTTAGCATTTCATGACATAGTCCCAAAACCCAATACTTAAATCTGTCAAGAGGCTTGAAGGAGCTAGGTTGCACTGAAAGTATTTCATGTGATGATGTTACAATAAATAGTCAGACACCCTCTATTCCTAAATTAGAGATGTTATGTTATTCAGAATCAGATGTGGCCGCTATTATAGACAAATTTTAAAAAAAATCTAAAGTTAAAGATGTGTATGGTTTGAATATTTATTTTAGAAATGCTCACAAAGATTCTTTGATGTTTCCAATAACACATATGATTAATCTATCACTCAGGTTTCCATGTTGTTCCAACAACATGGAACTCCAATTTACAGACTGGGGAATAAATCAGATCTTAAAAATGACCTATGAGTATATACTAATATCCTGAAAACATGGTTGTTAGTTGGAGGCAGATAGATTGTAAGTATAGTAAATTCATGAAAAAGCAACAACAAAGCATCACTTCCAGCAGTTTGCAACAGGGCACAAGCAGAGAAAAGGGCACAGAGCCTTTGCTCTAGCAGGTGATTTCTCTCTGTGAGAAATGACTTCACATTTCATTTTCTAATCTTAATGAAATTTTAATACAATTGCCGAGATTGTTTTGTAATTCATCACTGAATGAAAAGTGCTCTTTCCTCTGAGACAAATTCGATGACAGGTTGACTTCTGGTTGGAAACAATCATGGTGACGTGCCTCCTGAGCCTCCAGAATTCCTCTTTTATCCTCTCCTATATCTGACAATGATAACTTGTAGGAATCAGCTCCTGGGCCAGTAAACAGCTGCTGAGATTAATCACTGTAATGGAAAGTTACTGGCGATAAAAGATTCAGCAAATTGACTCTTACTCTATAATTGTGTGATTAACTTAATGTTAATATAAATTAAGAGAAAGTCAGAAATTATGTGGTCTGCTTCATGAAGCATTTATGAAGACTGAAATAGGAAATCCTGCTATTTCCTGTGTAGACATACAGTGCAATGAAAGAGTATTTTCCCCCTGCCTGATTAATTAATTCGTTTTTGTGCATCTTTATCCTTCAAACTCACGTACTCGACCAGCAGTCTGGTAGCTTGAGGGTCAACATCAAAAAACAAGCAAAAAATAACACAAAATAAAGTAAACAACAACAAACAAACTGGCAGGTTTAAAGACCTGAAATAATTATGTCGTCTTTGTCTTTATTTTGTCTTCCTTCATATTTCTCAACCAAAAATTAAAGTTAAGTGATTTTTTACAGGGAAATATGGTCATCGCTGTAACATTTGTTGAGGTCTATAACATTGTAAATTTAATTTCTGGCCACAGCTTGTTTCTCTGGTGGCTGTTATTTTCTTATTTCTGATTTATTCTCTTATTTATTTATTTTTAAAGGACACTAAAAATTAAGCATATGCTGAAATTGGGAAGTAGTCAGATTTTCCCAGAGAACAGTAAACTATAGCTTGATCTGAATGATCCATACTTAGTTTTAAGTATTATTCTTTTATTGTGAGACATATAATTATACAGCCACAAATCTTTTTTAAATACTTGTTGTCCTGTATCTTACACTTTTCTCTCTCACTTTCTTAGTGGTATTCCTGGGAAGAAGTGTGGAACCATCATCTTCACCGCTGAGGAGCTGAGTAACTGCAGAGTTAGTATCAGCTTAGATGAACCTTGTGATACAAACAGTAAGAGGAGTTAGAAAGTTAAGCATGGCAGCCGACCTCATGGTGGTCACAGTCTGTGTTTCCATTTGTTAACCAAGTAAATTTAAATTACCTGGATATTGAATGACCATTTAAAGGACTTCAGGATAATTTTGTAATTTGCATCATACTCTCAGTGCGATGAGAAGAGCTGCTCATGAATTATAAATCCTTATTTTACACTTTGTTTTTTATATCCATGTTGAAGAAGATCAGATTACTGTTATGTATATATGTAATCAGGTTTGACCTTCTTTGCTTCACTATCAGACTCGTGGTGGTGGTGACAGCTCAAGAGTCCTTGAGCACTCTGAGAGCCCTGTTGGATTTATTGTTCAAATGTTTGTCTCTGAGCAACAATCTATCTTCTATACATTTCAATTAACGGTCAACCCAGGACTGCAATACCTTTTGCACCAGAACCTCATTCTTTCTTTCTTAAAGAAACAAAACAAATTGGTAGAAATATTCCAGCCATTCACAGAAGTAGGCCCATGCCCAGAACCCAAGGACCAATGGGATTTACAATCTGTGGATCATATCTTTGCTGAAGATGAAGCAGAGACACAAAACAGCATATGGATGACCATCTTTCTGAGGATCCCAAAAGGTTGATTCTGTTCCTCTGGACGTAGTGTTTTCAGTGGAAGAAACATTTCGTCACTCATCCAGGTGACTTCTTCAGTCTCAGCTGACTGCAGGTCTCCCCAACCTTATAAACAGTACATTTGCAGAATGACTGAAACCAGCACCACTGAATGAACAATGGGCTGGGAGGTCAGTTCCTTGATCATTAATTCTCATGACGATTGATCAACTACCACTTATCAAAGCCCACTGATCGAAGCTCATTGATCAAAGATCACTGATCAATGGAAAGAAAGCTCCACCTGATCCAGGATTGAAGGACAACTGTTGCCTAAGTGAAAACCCTTATGTGTCAGGACTATCGGAACAGTTGAGAAGCATTTTTTCTAAACACTACGTCTCTGTGGCTTTTAAACCACCCGACACAAATAGAGTAATATAGTGTATGCTGATGATTTATACACCAGGGAAACCAAACAACCTCTAGCAAAGCTGATGGTACGATGAAGAATTCGTCAGGCGAGGACTCCGCAGTCTATTTACACCTACAGGCCAGTGGACACTCTTTCAATCATGAGGATGTACACATCGAGCGGGGAGTCAAGGAGGTCATTTATGTGAAAAGGGAAAGACCATCTCTGAATCGAGGAGGGGGGCCTAAGGGTATATCTTTCACCATCTTACAATGCTGTGATTGCAGCCATTCCCCAACTCTCTGTCAAGACCATTGGACTGGTCTTCACAGACAAGACTGGTGTGATAGACCCCAGCCTGTATCTTGTGCTCAGAGCTTGTTCATGTGCTGTCTTCAGCACTGACCGTGGCTCAGGGGTTTGGGAAGTGCACCTGTAACCGGAAGGTCGCCGGTTTGATCCCCTACCGCCTACCTGTCTTGGCCAGAGGGGCCAATGGCACAATATGGCAGCCTCGCTTCTGTCAGTCTGCCCCAGGGCAGCTGTGGCTATAACTAGCTGCCTCCACCAGTGTGTGAATGTGAGAGTGAATGAATAGTGGTATTGTAAAGTGCTTTGAGTGCCTTGAAAAGCACTATATAAATCCAATCCATTATTATTATTAAATGTTAAATGGCTCTTTGTTATATCCTGTTGCCACTAGGTAAAGTTCTTGTTGGGTTTGAGTCATGTGCTCAATAGACTTTTTGTCTACGGATATTACAGTTTGCTAGACAACATCCTCTTTTAAGTACTTATTGTCAAATTATGTTCAAAAATTCACAAGTTCATTCTTAAAAAATAAACTTGAAGATAGACCGGATCCTGAAAGAAACTGTTCTTGTTTTCCTAGGACATAGCCACTATGCAGTTTTGTGCAAACAAGCTGGATAAAAAGGATTTTTTTGGCAAGTCTGATCCTTTCCTTGTCTTCTACCGGAGCAACGAGGATGGCACGTGAGTGTTTTGTTTGGAATGTATGAATTGTTAGAGAAACTGTATATCCTCTGATATGCAGTCAATCTGTTAGCTGTCCATCTAAAGAAAAGCGCTGCTCCTCTGTTCCAGTTCTGGCCTTATTACTGCCGGTGAGTAAAAAAAACGCTAACACATTTGTCTTTTGGATCCAGTCCCATGAGGAGAGTGAAAGGTACTAACTCTTCAGAAGGAAGAAGTAGTTATAGATTTTCTCTACACTGAAGTAGAATGTTTTAATTTAATTTGTACTTCGTTTAAGTTTTAAGTATTTCAAAAATATAGTTCAGGATGAAAACTTTCTGTTTACTCTGGACTGTTTCTGGTGTCTAATGTTACATTTCATTTAGATGATGAGTAGCATGAAGCCTTACCAAATGTCATTATTTAACCAGGGATATGTGGTATCCAGGGATACATTTTGTTCACTATTTCCTGTCAATCCTAGAGCCCACCAACATGTTTCATGATAATAAAAAAAACCTCCCCCCTTCTGACATTTCATCCATGTTGAGATGTCTCCTTTTGTTTGCAGGTTTACGATCTGTCACAAGACTGAGGTGATCAAAAACAACCTAAACCCTGTCTGGCAGTCATTTACTATTCCTGTTCGAGCACTTTGTAATGGAGACTATGACAGGTGAGAGAACAGTACACTGATTACTTTCTTATTTTAAATCATTATGTTATCGAATATAAAGGTTTATACTGAGCTAACACAGGGTCAGCTACTGCAAAAAAAACAAACAATAAAAATAAAGACAAAAACCTGACAGCTACTACTTCAAATTTAATTTCCTACTAATTTGTAGTCAGACAAAAGAGCTCTCACCTCTTTAATATATGTCTTTACCAGTGTTGGTCAAGTTACTTGAAAATAATAATTAGTTACTAATTACTGATTACTGCTCCAAAAAGTAATCCCATTACTTTACCGATTACTTATTTTCAAAAGTAATTGATTACTTTATTACGGTACTTTTTAAAAACATGATGCACAACCTGAATAAGTAATAAAGCAGCAGATCTTTCAGCCCAGTTCTATTTTTTCTGCATAATCCATCATATAAAAGTGAAGCAAATGAAAAAGTCTGTTTTTAAATTTTTTTTTATTAGTTTTAATCTTTAGTTTCATGCACATTGCATCAAGCAAAAATGAAATTATATGCAGCAGTCTCTGACTGGAAGAAATGTGTTTAACATTTAAACCTTTTCTGCAGATTCCAGCTTATAAAATAAAAAAAAATGTTCTGTGTTTACACTTTTTCAAATAGATGCAAGTAAAACACACCAAAAAATTAATAAAATCAAAGATTCAGCAGCACTGAGTCCTGTCGCTCTTAAATCTGTTGTCACCTGTTTAGCAGGAGTGGGGCGGGTGGAGGTTTGCTCGGTGCCACAGCGGTCATGTCAGTGGGAGGATCCGGGGGTTTCTCTGTGAATGTCACATTCCCGTGGCAGCGTGCTCGGCGCTCGCTCAGAAGTTTAATTTTTCGCTGTAGAAAGACGTTTTCTTCCCACACAGAGTGAACAGCAGACGCTAATGATTTTGTAATTTTTTACAGAATCAAACTCAAAGTAATGTGAGTACTTCCAAGCTTTAAACGCTGCATGGTCGTACTCTCTCCTGCTCTCCATATTATGCATTGTTGATCTGCACACGTCTGTTGCTGTGCAGGCTAATTTGTCACAGACGTTTGCCACCTACACTATGTCTAGGTCACAGTCTGCTAGTCAGAATTTGGTTATATCATGGAAATTTGATGCAGCTACAGAGTGTCAATGCTAGTTTTGCTTTCCTTGTGTCTTTGTCAAGTCTTTCCAGCTGTGTTTCCAGCTGTGTTTCCATTCTCCCTAATCACCCTCGTGTGTGTATATATTTTGTCTGTTTTCTCTTTGTCTCTTATCAGGACGTCTGCTTCTCTTGTCCATGTTTCCAGGTTCCATGTCCAAGTTAATTCATCCAGTTTAGTTCTGTTAGTTAAGCCTCAGTTCCTGTTTTGCCTCTTGCTAGTATTTTCATTCAGCTTTTAATAAACGGCTCATGTTTTGTTAAAACCCACTACTGCCTGTACATGTATGCATTTGGGTCCTTATCCTCTTTCCTCACTGTCTGCTGCCATAGTCTCATGACATACTGTGCTTTATTGGACAACCAGCGTCCCTAACCTTAAACCCACAGAGGTATTGTCAGGAGGAAGATAAGAAAAAACCCAACCTAGAAATATAGATGAGCTGAAGGAGGGTGAAGGAGCCCCAACCAAGTTCTCATTACATTTTCGACTGTAGAAGTTCCATGACTTCATCCATGAAAAGCATAGAACGTCTGAAGGTTCACTTGTACTCATCAGGACTTCAGACTTATGCAGAAACATCATCTTCTTTCTTAAACTGGGTCTGTCTTCAAATTGAAGATTTGAGGTTTGTCTTTCCATATTCATACTGAATCCTGTATAAAGCTGAACTCTGTGGTGGTCAGAATAATGCCAGCAGTCGGCCGTGAACTCAGTGTCAGGCCAGTGCTGGTGTTATTGAGACTACTGCAGAAGTAATAAGCAGCAAACACACACGCACAGTATGTACATCTAAGCCTAAATCAACCGACAAATAAGGGATTACTAAGGATTTTCCCTTAGACAGTAGTTGTCTTTCTTCGCACCTGAAGTGAATGTCCAGTTGGGATGACCACATTTACTCAGGGCCTTCTTAATAGGATATTCTTTTGCTTCCATGGCTGCTGTATCTGTGGGGATGCCTCTCATCATCCACTGGAGCACAAAGTGTCTGTCATCACCAGACTCTTAATAGAGCAGATTCAGTGCTGTGGTGAGTTTTAAAACAAGATATTCATACAGGAGGGACTTAAATTGAGTGTAGACAAAATTTTAAAGGAGTTTAGACAACAAAAGTAACTTGGAGACAGGCTCGACAAAAAAAAGGTTAAGAAAAGGGTTGCACAATAGCATCTTTAAAAAATTTGGCACCACACTAGAGGTCAGACTACTGTTAATAATGGCTAGGATGAATGTGTGGGGGGTATATGTGTGATGCTAAATTTTGAGTCCCCTATTAGAGGCCTGGAATTTTGAGGGTTCTTCGCAGTATCTTAGGTGTACCTAGCACTGTGTTCTTCTGCACAGAGACCTCTTATACACTCGGATTCTGCTGGAGCTGCTCTTCCAGTATCAGGGTTACAACTCCTTATGTTCCTGTTACCACCAGGACTGCTTTGGACTTTACTTTCCACATCTGCTCCAGTTGTTCCTTCTCTATTTTCTTGTCCTCCTTCCTGATGTTGCTGTCTGTTGGGTTTGCCATATCTATCACAATTTTTTGTCTTCTGCTCCTTGTCACCCACTGCTACAGGGGTGTCAAACTCCAGGCCTCAAGGGCCGGTGTCCTGCAGGTTTTAGATGTGTCCTTGATCCAGCACAGCTTATTTAAATGGCTAAATTACCTCCTCAACATGCCTTGAAGTTCTCCAGAGGCCTGGTAAGGAACTAATCATGTGATTCAGGTGTGTTGACCCAGGGTGAGATCTAAAGACTGCAGGACACCGGCCCTAGAGGCGTGGAGTTCGACACCCCTGCACTACTGTCTGGTTAGTTTGCCAGCAGCTGCTTGTCTGTCTGGAACTTTTGGTGCCATAGGACCTTGTTGTTCTCCACCTCCTTTGGTGGTGTCTTGTATTGGGTATTTGGGACTTCTAGTCCATATATACTATCTCAGCCACTTGGTTATGCCGCTCAGTGTATACTGTTCTTTACATCTTATGTTCTGCTACTATATGGTGGATAGTCTCTAGGGCACCTTTGGACGGACTTGTTGGCTTTGGTATATTCCTGCCTCTATGGCTGGTGCTTAGGGCCTGTTATTGGGCTGCCATGATCAGACATAATACATTTTTAAATGGACTAACAATGAGGTGGAGTTGTTGCTACGAGTAACACAAAAGTACAAAGCTGCAAAAGCGAGTGAGAATTAAAGAATTTAAAGAAAAGCTATCTGGAGCATGTACAAACTGATATTCATCTTTTTTAGGGCAGTCAAAACAACTGCTGTATAATGTACTCCGCTATCTTTGTTTATTTGGTCACATGACTGCATCACATGACTAAAATACGTCATCGTTTTAGAAAGTCTGTGTTTTTGTGTGTCCACACTGCAACGGAACAGCTGCGTTTTGAAATGTATGCGTTTTCGAGAGCGTTTTCAAAACGCTGCCTTTTTCCTTGAGGAAAGCGCCGTCTCAGTGTGGACGGGAGGTCAAAACGGAGAGAAAACGATGCGTTTTCAAATGAAAATGCATTAGTGTGAATGTAGCCTAAATAAACTCCTATCAGCAAGAATATCATCTGATTGTTGGGGCTTTGTCTCAAATCTTGTAGGGTCTTTACTGTACAAAATAAAGCAGGTTGAGCGGACTATTGTTGAGATTGGGTGCTGTTTGTTTAGACACTAAAGCTGGTGGGCCTAAACCTCACATCAGGAGGTTCTTTAAATACGAGGAGTATGTGTATCAGAAAACCAGGGCACAGAGACTGAGTAGGTCTAATCAAAGAAAGTTTATTCCCTGAGGAAGAAGGCAGGCATAAATACTTTTACACTAAAAATCCCACAATAAAATTGTCCAAAAAACGCAATACAAATATCAAAGTAAAATCATGCAAATAAAATTCAAACTACACTCAAGAATAAACACTAAAATAACAATAAATCCGACTATAAAACAAATACAAGTTTCTGCTGTGTAACATATAAATTTATTGAATTTAATTACATTTAATTACTTCTTACACAGTAGCTGTTTAAGTCACAGAAAACTGGACCTGCATCTCACACAGGCAATCAACCTGTACAGGAAAAGAACAAGAAGTAACAAGAGTCACTCCACCTCATACTCTAAAGCACAGCGCACACGGTCACATGGATGATCGCACGACTGAAAGAATCTGAGTCATAGCACCGACTTTAAGGATGTTTTTTAAAGTTGTCTTATTTCAAATATATAATCCATCATACGTATTATTTTTTCCATTATTTTCATTATTGAATGAATTTTTATATATTATATAATTATATAATTTTTGACATTGGTAAGCTGTATAACTTTAGGGTCACCATTATTTTAATTGATTTCATAATGTGAAACATTCTTTGAAGAAAAGTTAACTTACTCAACTTTCTGATGGTCTCTCCCTATTGGCTTCCTGCCATTTCACTTTCTCACCCTCACACTCCCTCTTATCTTCTGTAAATCTCACCTTTGTCTATCTCACCTTGGCTTCCTTGTCTCACCTCCCTCCAGGACAGTCAAGGTGGACGTTTTCGACTGGGACAGGGATGGGAGGTAAGCGTTCTCACTCTGTGTGACTCTCCTTTTCCTTGCTTTAATTTTCAGCTCCACACGGAGTCTCTGAAATGTCACACATTATTCTTTCTGACCCAAGGCATTTTATTAGAACAAGTGAAGAGCTCCACCTGCTTGGCACACACTGGGCAATGAATGAAATCTTGTGAGTGAAAGGTTGCAGCTAAGTGGTTAGGAGGTCAGGTTATACATGGCTTCTACGTCTCATCACAGATGCTGGCTACATGTGGGGCTTAATTTGCAGATATCTTGTGGGGGTTTTCAGGCTGTCTGACCTTATGTTGCTGTTCCACAAATTTTACTCTGAAAATAAATTTTCAGTCTTTTCTCTATGTTCTATCTTCTGTCTCTCTTTTCACTTTTTGTGAGAAAAAAGGAAACCTGAAGGAAATGTTTGTCTTGCAGAATTCATCAGGCTGTAATTCTGATGCATTTTTACTCAGCTTCCCTTTTAGGCTTTGACACAGTATTCTGTAGTATTTGTCAAAACAGAAACATAACAATGACAAATATATATGCATAATACATTTTTGGATAAAATATCTCTATCGACCAATGACGTGTCATTGTGACAGGGACAAAGAAAGGGAATCCTTTGAGGCTAGACACTTTTTCAAAATTAAAACAGACACTGACTAACGAGCTACACATCACAAAAGTTAGAGCCATTAGAGGATCTGAGTGCTCTGTTGGGGCTATACACGTCGAGAAAGTCTGTTAGGTAACTGGGCGCCATTTTTAAAAGTATACAAAAGGATTTTAAATACGATACGGTATTTAACAGGGAGCCAGTGTAGATTGGCTAGAACAGGGGTGATGTGATCAGCCTTCTGGTGGCAGTTAAGAGGCGTGTTGTGGCATTTTGAACTAATTGCAAACGCTGGAGGAGAGAGAATTGGAGGCCCATGCACAGAGAATTGCAACAGTCTAGTCTCGAAGTAATAAAGGCATGGATAAGCTGTCCAAGGTCTTTATGTGGAATATAGGGCCTTGCCTTGGAGATTTAGCGTAGCTGGTAAAAACTCGTTTTCACAACTGAGGACACTTGTTTGTCTAATTTGAATCTTTGTGATCTAAAGCACAGGACAGCAAGGTTTAAAAGGTAAATATAGCCTAGTTAAATTAAATATCTACAGTTAATTTAATTCGGAGCAGCACAGTGGTGCGGTAGTTAGGGCTGTTGCCTCACAGCAAGAAGGTCCTGAGTTTGACTCCGTCATCTGGCCAGGTCTTTCTCTGTGGAATTTGCATGTTCTGCCTGTGTTTGTGGGAGTTCCCTCCACTTCCTCCCACAGTCCAAAGACATGCAGTTAGTGGGGTTAGATTGACTGGTGATTCTAAATTGCCCATAGGTATGAATGGCTGTCTTTCTCTATGTGTTAGCCCTGTGTCAGATTAGTGAGCTGTCCAGGGTGTACCCCGCCTCTCGCCTTTTGGTATCTGGGATAGTTTAATGTGTGAGAAATACCACATCATAGAAGCTGAAAAGGATACACTTCTCTTTAAATTAGTGCAACTTAATTGCAACTATTTTGTATAAGTTTGTAATACAAGACAACAAAAGGAAGATCCATGCAATCCTTCACATTGGTTAAAGTGAACCCCAGCTATTAAGACATGTTTGCACTAAAATATGTACTGTGCTTTCAATATGTGGTACTAAAAGACACCAAATGTTTTCCTTAAGCACCATCCATCCATCCATTCGCTTCCGCTTGTCCTTTTTCAGGGTTGCGGGGGGGGCTGGAGCCTATCCCAGCTGTCATGGGGCGATGGGCAAGGTACACCCTGGACAGGTCGCCAGTCTGTCGGAGGGCCAACACACAGAGACAGACAACCATTCG